ATAGTGCCACACTAAGACTCCTTTTTGACCAATAGCAATGCTGTATAGGGTTTCCATTGAGCAACTGTGAGCATGAACTGCCAGCCTTTGGGGTTCAAACTGACTTTGCAATCCAGCACATTAGCCCACAGTGCCATACCAGGACTTCATACAAGGAGTTCTGGTAGCATAAGGGTTACGAGTCAGGTTTCTAATCTCATGATCATCAGTTTTAAACTATCAGCCATTCTGTGGGAGAAAGATGAGGTTTTCTGCTCCTGTAAAGATTTATAGCCTCGGAAACTGTATGTAGGGTGTCCCGGAGTCAGAATCAACTTCACAGCACACCACCACCTACCACCACAATGTTGTTTATAGCTGATATGAATGAGCTCCACTGATTGCTTACATAATTAAGTTTTTATATACTTTTCATATATGTATTCTTGTTGAATAAACTTTAAAATCATATGGTAAGGTTTGAAAACTTTTTATATAACTAAATTTAGAATTTCCAAGTCTTAAGATGATATATTATCATGTCTAGATTTCTTATTCAGGTAAGAGTCATATTGTAAAGGCTTAGTTTATGAATCTCAATGAAAATTTATAATCAGATTCATAGTGTGAACATAGGAAGCTCCCTTACTTTGGCTCACATTTTTAATGATTTGAAATTGAAGAACACTGGTGTATCCTAACTTACCTAGACCTGAATCTGACCACACATGGGTCTGGATAAGGACACACAGGAGTGTATTTGTAACCACACAAGGATCGGACTACATGTTGTTTGATGCTACTAAGTGCCATCTACTCAATCCCAACACTCAGTGGCCCTGTGTAGGGTTTCTTTAGAGAGACTAGTGGATTTGAAATGCAACCCTTGTAGTTAGAAGCCCAGTGCTCATCTTATAGTTCCACACCAGGACTTTGACCACATTCAGGCCAATATATAAACACATATGGGTCTGCTACGACCACATCCATATGAAACTGTTCTTGACAACACACAGATCAGCATCAAACCATTCAGAGGTGTGTACCTGACCATAACATGGTATTTTCTTTATTTGGTCCTGTTATATAACACTGAACCAATTACAAGTGGATGTCTTTAACAAACTAAATTTTAGGAACTGGTCCTAGGTGTGAGTTCAGATATCATCTGCAAAGGTATAACTGGAAATTACACACCTAGTTATTGCTTTGTTGTTGTTGTTGTGAAGGGCATCAAGTCACTTCTAACTGATAGCAACCCTCTATAGGGTATCCGAGGAGTGGCTGGTGAGCTTGAACTGCCAATTTCATGATTCAAACTGAATATATAGGGTAACACATTAACCCATAGCGCCACATCAGGACTCCTACATGCCCAATGTTGTTGTTGTTGTCGTAACATAACATAACATGTGCCATAAAGTCCATTTCAACCCCTAGTGACCCTCTATAGGGTTTCTGAGGAGCAACTGGTAAGCTTAAACTGCTGTACTAGCCATTCAAACCAGTTAAGCAATCCAGCACATTAACCAGGAATCTACACCAGGACTCCACTAATCCAGTGGTGGTGGTTATATGCTGTGTTGTTGGTTCCGACTCAAAGTGACCCTGTATACGGTTTCCAAGGCTGTAAATCTTTATGGGAGCACAAAGTGTCATCTCTCTCCTGTGGAACAGCTGGTAGTTTCGAACTGCTGACCTAGCGGTTCGCAACCTGATTCCTAACCACTGCACTACCAAAGCTCCTTACTTACCCAATAGAATTGCCAATTTTGAGGATCATGATTTAATAGAATTACCTATTTTCAAGATCATGATTTAAACAAGATAAATTTTACATATTGAAATTCTGCCCAACCTGGGTCCTTCCCCTTTTGTGATTTGACCTCTGATTATATTTTTGTGGCTTTTTCCCCTTAGGATCATGTCCAGTAAGTTCCGTTTTTTGTGTGTGATTATTCTTGTAGTATCTCTGGAGATGTAGAAGTCTCCTCTCAGAATTGTGATAAAAGTCCCTGTGAGACTAATTGTGAGTCACCCATTGAGATGTACCAATTAAATGATTCAACGATATTTGTTTTAATTCAAATGTAAACAAAGTATCTAAAGACTCTTACCTGTTCCAGAGAATGCTGTCTATTTGAAGGAGAATCTAGTCTATATGAGTTTTATATGGTTGCTTTATCAGGAGTGGAAGTTATGGACCCAAAGCATGACAAAATACAAGCCTAAATGTATTCCCCATCCTCAGGCAAACCCAAGTTCAACTATGCTGTGTGAAGAAAGGCCAGTATAAAGAAATGAGAATTAAATGTTGTAAAAATGTTTTCACTTCAAAAGCACAAAATGTAAAATATCTATCTAAATAATTCACAATCTCATATGAAATTATTTAAAAAATTTTCAATCTCATATTTATATAACATTTTCTTGTTTTACGAAAAATTATGCCAGATACACAGTGCTTGATTTTCTTTGTTTATCAACAAGATTTAAACTTCTTTTGGTTTGACATTTTTATTGAAAGCCCCCAAAACTTAAAAGGTAATGATTTTCTGAGACTGACATAAAATATACTTCTTGACACATGGAATGAGTTGGCCATGTGGAAATATTTTTTGATCCAATATGGTGGCGGTAGTGGTTTATGTGCCCTTGAGTCAATTCCGACTCAAAAGGACATTGCATAGGGTATCCAAGACTGTAAATGTTTATGGGAGCAGAAAGCCTCATCTTTCTCCTGCAAAACTGCTGGTAGCTTCAAAATACTGACCATGAGATTAGCAGCCTGACTCATAACCACTACACTTCCAGAGCGTCTTTGATCCAGTATATTGCACATGCATTATCTTACTCTTTGTGTGCTCAGAGATGGCATTAGTGTATGAAGCTGCTAACTTTTGAAATGAGGACGATGGCACCATAATTCAAAGCTTGCATCTAATGATGTTTCATAATGCAGGTAATCCAGTAGGTGTTTTTAGTGTAAGAGTCTTCATTAGGCTTTAGATGATACAAGAGTACAATGGTAATGTGCTTTGGAAAGTCATAGTCTTTTAAATGTTCTCCTAAGTGATTGTGATAACCAGCCATGTCAGAGATCTTTGGGATCGATAAAGTATGTGGGGATCGACTCAATTCTATAATAGTGTTTTAACATTTTCATACTGTAAAAATGTAATGTGTGTTGACCTTTTCCGATAATATTACTTAGAGTTAATTACAAAGGATAATGGTTTAAGATTATTTTAGTGAATTAATATTTAAAAATCTTTTTAAAAAAATCCATGGATATGTTCTGTAAGCCTCATTTGTTCATCTGTTAATAATTAAAGAATGATGTAAATTAGTAAACCATGAATGAGCGACTTTGAAAAAGTAAGGTGCTCACTTGACACAGGACTACAGTAACGGGCTCACACGTAACACTTGTGAGGATGGCGCAGCATTGCTCAGTGCTTTGTTCTCTATGAGTTGGTACTGCCTCAATGGCATCTAGCAACATAAACAGTAAAGGTGATGTTTATGCAAACACGTTATCACTCACTTCATTGACGTGATGTTGTTAAGTGCCATTGAATCAGTTCTGACCCATAGTGACACTGTATAGGGTTTCCGAGGAGCAGTTGGTGAGCTTGAAACACCGACCTTGTAGTTCAAATGGCTTTGCAATCTGGCGCATTAATCCAGAGTGCCACACCAGGACTCTATAGAAGTGATAGGTTGGACAAAAAGGAGACTGCAAGATTTAGCTAAGTGAAGATGTTTGTGTAAATAACAGCAAATTTGATTGCTTGCTTCAAAGAGATGTAGAGTTGAAGGCACATTACACTGCATATTACAGTGAGAAAAACTGATAATATAGGAAATTAGGAGAAAATTAGAGGAGTACTGTTTTAAGAGCGAGAAAGATGATAGGATCCAGTGTACGTGCAGAGTTTCTGGCCATCAACACACAGACAATCCAAGTATTGTGAAGTGGAGACGGCATAATTATGAGATCAGATATTGAAGTAAATGTCAACAGAGACTCTGAGAGTATAAGTGGATGTAATTACTGTTTTATAAGATAATGTTATTGTCAAGTGGTGTTGAGTCTGTATAGGGTTTTTGAGGAGCAGCTGGTGGGATTAAACTTCCAACCTTGCAATTTAAACTGACCTTGTGGTCCAGTGCTTAACCTACAGCACTGATGCTTCATAGGATAAGCACTGAACCACAAATCAAAGTGTTGGTGGTTTTGAGTCATAAGAGAAAATGAGATTTTATGCTCCCCAAAAGATTTTAAAATCCTTAGAAACCCTATACATGGTTGCTATGAGTCAAAACTGACTCAAGGAACATAACAATAACAACAAAAATAACTATATATACATATGTACATATATGTTAAATGCTGTTGAGTCACTTCTGACTCATGGCAACCCTATGTATGGCTTCCATGGAGCAGCTGGTGTATTTGAACTGAAAACAACCTCAGTATTAGCAATCCAGTGCCCAGTGCCTATCCTACAGTGCCAGGTATATATATAT